CTGGAAACTCCTGCATCACGAGCGAGGTGCTGCGACTCGGGTGACAAAACCAGGAACACTCGGGGACGACTGGCGACGCCCAGTGAGACGCTGGACTGGGAAAACCATTTTAACGAGTCCCTTTTATTTTAGCCTTTAGAGTTTGATTAATTCTTCAGTGAGCATCGGTCGTTGTTAGAGAACTTTATGAAACGCTGGTGTTTACATGGCTGCAAAGCAACACACACACACACACACACACACACGTGCGCTCAGGTTGTTAGTATTCTGGCGATCATGTGAGGCACTAATTGGCAGGGATTAAAGACATCCTTGATTTGTGTGTGTGTTCGTTGTGAGTGCATCACAGTGTCTGCTCAGCTCTTAATGCCCAACACACCGACAACTGGGTTAACTCTGCTGTGAAATTAACGCTGATTAAGATGCACTTTAAACACACACACACACACACACACACACACACTATCTGCCACTTCATCCATACGTCCCTCAGCTCCAACCATTACACACCGCTCAGATCCGTCTGCATCACTTTTTCTCTTCTTCAGCTCCATTTTTTTTTTAAAACTAATTTTCATTTTCCGGAGCGTGTTTTCCCCACGTCACTCATTTTCATGCACCTTTTTCCCCTCGTCAACATCTCTCCTTTCACCACTTTCTTCTTGTTAACTTGTGTTTCGTTTTTCTTTTATCGTTCAGCCTTTATTTATACAGGTGAGTCTCGTTGAGTCACGAAGACTCGTTTTCAAAAGAGACCTGTTTAAAAACACACACAGATGAAGTACACAACAATAAACTGCCATAAGAAGTATATAAAATGAAAAGTAAATTAAAGTAGTGACATAAAACAAAACAGTCAAGCTACATTATAAAGTGATGAAGAAGTGATTTAAAGATGAAAATGTACCAGTGAGAGAGTCTGTGTGAAGTTAATGGTGACCAGTTAACCAGTGAATACTGGGTGCAGTGGTGGGTACGGTAGTTCTGAATCTTAGTGCACCATGATGGGCAGCATCCAACATCTGCAGCATCCAACATCTGCAGCATCCAACATCTGCAGGGTCCAACATCTGCAGGGTTCTTGTAGGAGCGTTCATGTAAATGATGTCACCGTAATCAATGGAGGGAAGGAAAGTCACAGATACAAGGAGTTTCCTAACATTCAGGGTTAGACAGGATCTGTTTCTGAAAAAGAAACCCAGTTTAACTTTCAGTTTCTTTACCAAGTTTTCCACGTGGAGCTTAAAAGAAAGATGCGAGTCGACCAAGATACACAAATATTTATAGGAATCAACAAACGCAATAGGAGCATCATTCGAAGATCAAACCGAGAGGAGGACTGCTGGGACCGACTTCCTGTTTGGAAACATCCCTTTGGGTTCATCAGCATTTAGCACCAGTTTGAGACGTAACAAATCAGACTGGATGATGTCAAAAGCAGACTGCAAAACCTTAGCAACTCTTCTGGCTCGACAATAAACAACTGCGTCGTCTGCATAGAAATGTAAGGATGACCTAGCGTACATTACTTATGTAGACTGTAAAGAGAGTGGGTCCTAAGACTGAGCCTTGTGGTACATCAACATTGACAGTTAAATAACTGGAAGAAGTACCATTCAGTACCATTCTTGTCTAAATTTGACACACAAACCGTCCTTTGATGTCAAAGAAGACGTTTTTTCTCTCGTCATGGACACAGAATGAATAAAACGAGAGAAGCTTTCTGAGAACATCTTTTTGAAATCTTTACTAGCTGTCTATTTAAAACAGCTAAATGTTTGGTTCTTTAGCTTTTACTTTATATATTAAAGGTCGCCTTTGGCCACAAATCAAAGCTGAAAATAGTGACGTTGGTAGAAACAGAAAGAAATTGAGTAAAACAAAACAGTAAATACTGTTTTAACAATTTCTAACCATTTTAGATTGTTTAGGTTAAATATCGATTATTAATGGAAAAACAACAACAACTTTCAAATAAATTGTTATAATTCTTTTTTTTCGATGTACAAGTTTAATTTTGAAACCAATCAGATCTGACGCTTTATTTTGGCTTTTGTTTAGAGTCAAAGTCTTTTTCTCACAAAACAACAAATGAATGAACTAAGATGATTATTTTAAGCTCTCTAATAGAAGTTACAATAAAAACATAAAAACATGAGCAGAAACAAACAAACAAACAACCCTAGCAGCCAGAGGAGGTAGAGCACAGATCTCCTGCGCGGTGGCTCAGACACCTCGGCAGTCTTAAACCGGCCGGACTCGTAAAGTTTGTTAATTTTCTCTCACAGTTGGAAACGCTCCGTCACGTTCATGAACGGCTCACATGCTCCGAAGATACACCGCCGAACACGGGTTAGAGCTGAAGGAGGAAACCTTCGGCTTCTTTGTTTCCTGCAGCTGTTATTGATCCTGAAGGAAGCCTCGGCTGCTGATGGCTGCAGGCTTTTAGTGTGTGACCCCCCTGACCCCTTTTAGACAGACCCCCTTCACTTCCCCTCCTTGGACCACCATCCATCCAACCATCTCTCCATCCCATCCACCCATCCATCCATCCATCCATCCATCCATCCATCCATCCAACCATCTCTCCCTTCATCCATCCAACCATCCCTCCATCCCATCCAACCATCCCTCTCTTCATCCATCCATCCCTTCCCCATCCATCCATCCATCCATCCATCCTCTGACTAACAGCTCAGGGGCAGATGATCAGCGGGAGCGGTCTAACATTCTGACGCTTATCTTTGTGTGTGTGTGTGTGTGTGTGTTCATCTGTGTGTGTGTGCAGTAGATGAGGAAAGCCCTCCTCAGTGAGTACAATTTGTCAGATGTCAAAAGAAAATGCGTGATGGTTTAGATTAAGGTGGATAATGGAATATCCTCACTTCTATGTGTGTGTGTGTGTGTGTGTGTGTGTGTGTGTGTGTGTGTGTGCGTGTGGTCCAACCTTTGTCCTTTGTTATTTTCTTGATGGGAGCAGCAGAGTTGGTCAGCGCCACATCAGCATCACCTGACACCAACCCTGTTGAGAGAGAAGTTTTAATTATCGTCTGGTTCCAAATGCAGCACAAACACACCCTGTCTGCGTATAATGTGTGTGTGTCTGAAAGTACACACGTTTGTGTAAAGTCCAAGTTCAGATTTCTTACGTGGGGATCTTTGGAAACAACACGAACAGTTTCATTAGAACAAACATTTTTATTTCACATTATCGACTCATTCATAAATACAAATAACTTCTAAACTAACTGATTAATCCATGACTCTTACAAAAATGCGCAGAATATTTTAACCGGTTCTCTCGACCTCTAATGACCCCGATCTGAAGCCAGGGCTCGGTTTGTCCCCTCTGGGCTACTGTAGACGTCAGGTGTGTGTTTCGTACCGAGTCTTTCGGGGGAGCTGGAGGCCGAGCTGCTGGGCTGCGACTGCAGAGGAGTGTTGGTTTCGTCCACAGACGGAGACAGAGAGGGACTGTCACACACCCGCTCCTGAGAGGACAGAGGGAGGCGGGTGAGACGTTTCTGAAAAAATGTCAAAACTCCTCAAATATGTTTACGTTTGTTTAGTTCGATCAGACGGAGTCAGGAAACTGGAAATAAACGTGTGGACCGATGAGTCCAAAACGAAGAACAAAAGTAAAAAAATAAAAAACGTCAGTTGCATCGATTGTTTCAGCCATAACATTATGACTACATGTCTAATACTGAGTAGGACTCGTTATGATCCTGATCCATCGAGACCTCTGAGGGTCTTGCTGTGGTCTCTGGCACCAGCAGCAAATCTGTTGAATCCTGTCCAATACGAGGTGGTGTCTCTACGGATCAGAACCATTTTAATCCAGCGCTTCCCAAAGATGCTTGTTGTATCACAGAATAAGGTTTAGGTTTAGTCAGCTGGTACGTATTAAGGTACTGGTCCTCGAGGGCCACTCCTGCACGTTCTCAACCATTTTTCAATGGTTGAATTACGTCTTCATGTTCTGCAGAATCCTGTTCATCTTCTGTTGTTTCAAACAGGCGTGTTGAAGCAGAGAAACATCTAAGACGTGCGGGGTAGTGGCCTTCAGGGACGAGTATCGGACACTCCTGATCTATATAGATAAAATAACTTGAGATTTACCAACAGAACTCTGTTTCCTTTACACCTGAAACCAAAGACACGGTTCTTTCTGTGGCGTCTTCCACAGTTCACGTTGGTGACGCTGACCAAGAGTTGTACCAACAGCTTTCCTCCAGAGTGTGGAAGTAAACACAAAGGTCCTTATTACCGTTTAAAATGGAACAAACTATTTAAAAAAAAACAGAAAAGTCTTATAAAATCCACTTCTTATCTTCTGTTGATCCATGGTTCAGTTTTAATGCCTGACTGACCACCTGACCTGTCTGCAGCGACAATATGATGAAACTGACCCTTTTCATCTTTAAATCAGAGAGCAGCGTCCTACAACCAGTCCGAGCTGCAGATGTTCAAATGGTTCGACCCAATCAACTAAGAATCACAAAGCTACTCGTACTCTGAGACTCTCACGGACAACCACCTAAAATGGTCAATTTATATATTTTTTAAAAGCCCAAACTTGTTTAAGAAACTAATGGAAGTCCATGAGGAGTTCTGCTCGTGTGCGTTACCTTGATGACAGGTGCACGGTGCACATGAGTGTGTATCTGCTGGGCTGCAGCCGCCATGTTTGCAATGGTGCTGAGGTGGTTCATCTGGGACATCGCCATAGCGACGGACGCAGGTGGCAGCCCCATGGGCAGCAGAGGATGGGGCATCATCATGAACGGCAGGTCCAACCCTGAGACAGAAGGAAGAGGACGACCCGTCAGTAAAACGGTGAAGTCTGGAAACAGGTGGACCAGGTGACGTCTTCACTTTCAGGTAACAAAACATCTGATGCCGTAGAATCATAAAGTGCCCCTGAAGGACGAGAAATCGTGCAACCTAACAGAAACTTTGTGCAAGTAGAAGCAAAGAACATCACTTTCCCACCATGAGCCGATATGCTAACAATGAGACGCTAACAAAACGCTGTTGGGTTGTTCTGTTGTGCAACTACAACAACAGAAACTGAATCTGTTGCTCCTGGTTACGTACCAGCTACAACAAGGCAGGGTGCTACGTTCTGTTGACAGGGCGGGGCGCCCTCCTTGGATATCGTTTGGGGGAAAACTGGAGTAAACGTTCGTCTGAATCAGCTCGTGTTTTGTTGAGGTTGTGTAAAACTGAAGACGTGTTGCTGCCGTAGACACTAAAAGTGCATTTCTGTATGAAAATCAGAGCTGCAGCCCACACACCCTGGGAAAGGTCTTCCCTTGCTCCTGCATCCATGTTGCTTCTTTTCAAGAGAATGCTTTGCTTATTTCAGCAAGATCACACCAGACATTTCTCCTCATTAAAAACAAAAAACATGCTGGCTGTTAGTAAAATGTCTCCAGTCAGGGTAGATCTACCAGAGGAGAAAGTTCACGCAGGTTTGAACATTTGCACGATAAAACGGTTGCCCTTGATCTTTTTCAGCCATTTTTGTTTATTGTACCCAGAGAACAACTTCCTGTCATGTAGGAATTTGCCTCCTTAGTTTTACTGCATTTGGGCTTTATTTGGACTTGAAAGACATTTGGAAACTTTAGCGTTTTCTCGTTGTTGATTGTGGAAAAATTACATGTTTACACAGTAACGCTGCGCTCGTTGAATCAGCTGCAGTGTCCATGCCAGGTCAGTAGCTGGCGCTGTGATTTTTGGTTACAAAATAGTGTACTCACAGACAGTCTAGACTCTAGAGTATGAAAACGGCTACGTTCATAATGAATGCCAGTTTGGAGTGAGTGTGAGGTTGTGTTGACGGTGATCAGCACAAACAGCACTCTTCTATCCTCCGCTCTTACTCTTGTTCATGCACTCGTGCAGAAAACCCATCGACTGCAGCTGTCTGTAGCGGGCGCGCAACTTCACGTCAATGCTAGGCGTTTCCAAAAAAAACCTAACTCTGAGGCCCGGATTAAAAAAACTTCGGCTTCGAAGAAAACACCTGCCGATGTTGTGTACAGAAATGGCCGAAACGCAGTAGAAATGCTACTGTTTTCATTTCAAAATGGTATAGAGTAAACAAAGTCAGGGCCTTACGACAAGCAGGAGAAACAAATCTTGATTTGACACCAGATAAACACTAGCTAACATCTGTGACTCTAAATATTATAAAGACCAGAAGAGCAAGGAACACGTAATATTCTGCCTTACCTAAGTATAATACGAGTCCTTAAAATCAGCTGATTTACGAGCTAAACCATAAGATGGAAGGGATTTTTGAGAATCGCAGGCCTCCTGCGGCTTCTAGGACTCGCCAGCATGTTGGAGATGACCTTGAAAGAGGTCCATAGCACAGATTAGTGGAATGCCCACAAATCTGGCCATTTTGGATCATCTAAAGTTCCAGCAGGACTCAAGGCTGACGAGAAAAAAAAGTCTGCCTGAAGAAATCAACAGTTGTGGCTTATCTGAATCTGACTCCCCCGTTTGGCCTCGAAAATGGGCGACTATCAAATTTCTCCTGGGACATGAGTAATCTAAGGAAAAAGCTGTGTCTATCGCATACCCCCCACCCCCGAGAACTTCTGTGCAGGCTTATCAGCACTGCCGGCTGACCAACATCTTATCAGGACTAGGAATGCGCGATATATACGGTAGAAACGATAGAAATTTAGCCTACGATAGAGATCTGTCTTCTAGCGGCTAACCGCAGTAACGCTGTGTCTGATGTAAAATCAGAGATTTCAGTTTAATCGTTACTTTTTTGGGTTGAGAACTGTGCGCAAGTGAAGTTAAAGTCTTTTCTTCGAGAGCTAAGTAGCGCAGCTACAAGCTAACTACGCCCGGCTTGCCGTAGTGTTGCCGTATTCTGACGCATGCGCACAACGCTGAGTTCTGTCGGAAGTTTTTGTTGTTTTTTTTCCGTCGAAAGTTAAAGTAAGCGTTGGTCATCTTTAGAGAAACCTGCGCTCTGATCTGTGAAAAGAACTCTGTGTTGTGTGATTTTACTGCGAGACCCTCTGGTCAAAGCCACAGACTCTTTTTGTGTCAGCTCCATTAAAGCTGAAGGTGTCGCCCACTAGAGGTTTGGAGGGTGAAGTGTTTCAGTTGCTGCTCTGTTGCTGTTCATCTCAAGTGAGACTGGAAACTGTTAACAACATATTGTTTTGTTTAAAACATATGGCTAAAACTACATTTTATATCTCTTGCTCTGTTTTGCACTACAAGAAAGAAGCCTAATACTTGATTTGTTTATTATTTAAAAACTCTGTGGACCAAGTAGTGGAATTTTTTTAATTCAAAATAAATGATGGCAAAAGGACATCCTACGCTTTAAAAAAAATTCCAATTAAGTTTTATACCCAAAACATATTGTGATATATATCGTTATCGCCACCCTTCACAATACATATCGTGATATGAATTTTATGTCATATCGCACATTCCTAATCAGGATAAGAGGCTGCGCTCGAGTAGCAGCAGCAACGTGCACTCGGCCCATCTGTCGGACGACTGTATGAACATAATCTCACTGTATCTCGGTTCAGTGATAATAAAGATGATTCTGATCATCAGTGGGTTCAACAGACTCTCTGAAGGGTGAGCTTCATGTTTTGAACAATATTGGTGTTTTTAAGACTCGACACTGCAGGCTGTGATGGATTTACAGATTAAAAGTCAGTGTTAAAGTGTATGCTGTCGTTTATTATTTCAACAAATATCAAGAATTATAAATATATTTTTAACTCTTTGTCACCATCTGTTGTTCCACAGGCTTCTGAGGCGACCAACGGTTGAGCAGCTAAAATCAACTGTTGGGATTTAAATTATTTTTAAAATATTAGTTGTTGTTTTGTTAAGTCGTCCATCTTTCTCTTCTCCTCCTCAATTTATCCCCCCCCCCCCCCCCGCCCACCGTCTTCTTGTGCAAAGACACACACACCAACAACACAAAGTGGTTGCAGTTGTGACGAATGACTTCAGTCTCATCCTTTAACCCCAAACCCAAAAGAATCCCCTCTGACCTCAGTGACCCCCTCACCCTAAAACGGCCCCCCCATTTTCAGAGAGGAGTGCTTGTTAGATGGACACACACACACAC